TGGCTTATGGAGATGAAACAACCTGAAGGTCAAATAGCACGATGGCTCGAGAAGCTCCAACAGTATCACTTTACCATCCAACATCGTGCTGGAAAAATGCATGGTAACGCAGACGGTTTATCCAGAAGACCCTGTCAAACCGATTGTAAGCACTGCTGTAAAACGGAACAACGTGAAGGCACTGTCATGATAAGGAGTTTTAAACTTGGAACCGATGAACAGTGGACGACGACACAATTGAGGAAAGATCAAATGGAAGATCCAGACATCGGAGCAATACTACGGCTCAAGGAAGGTAACGGCGAGAGACCACCGTGGCAGGATATTGCGGACAGAGGGCTCGTTTTCAAAGCTCTCTGGGCTCAGTGGAATTCACTGGTTATTGAGAATGGATTGTTAAAGCGCACATGGGAAAGTGCGGATGGCAGCACAGTAACAACTCAGTTACTGGTACCAAGGAAGAAAGTTACCCAGGTATTGGAAGAAATTCACGGTGGTAAAACTGGAGCCCATCTTGGGGTAAACAAGACCTTGAGCAAGCTGAGAGATCGCTTTTACTGGGTGGATTATTGCGAAGATGTCAAGAAATGGTGTCGACAATGTAAAATTTGTGCAGCCAGCCAAGGACCAAGCACTCGATCTAGGGGAAAAATGAAACAATATAACGTTGGACTGCCATTCGAAAGAATCGCTGTTGACATTGCAGGCCCATTCCCTGAAACGCACAAGGGCAACAAGTACGTTTTAGTGGCGATGGATTATTTCAGTAAATGGCCAGAAGTTTTTGCCATTCCAAACCAAGAAGCATCGACTGTAGCTGAAGTATTAGTCAATAATGTCTTCAGTAGATTTGGAATTCCCTTAGAGCTTCACACTGACCAAGGAAGGAACTTCGAGTCAAGACTGTTCCAGAAGATGTGTGATCTGCTTGGTATTCACAAGACTAGGACAACAGCTTTACATCCGCAGTCTGATGGGATGGTCGAAAGATTCAATAAGACCATTGAAGAACACCTCTCGAAAATGGTGGCCGAACATCAAAGAGATTGGGATCAACACATACCGCTGTTCCTAATGGCGTATAGAAGTGCAGTTCACAACACCACCGGACTTTCACCATCGAAGATTTTATTTGGTCGAGAATTACGGTTGCCTTGTGACTTGGTGTTCGGATCACCAGACGACGGCACCACAAATGTAGAGGACTACGCGGATGAACTGAAGGAAAGGTTAATGGAAATTCATAAGGCCGTAAGAAGTAAGATTACGCTAGCCAGTGACCGGATGAAAGCTCGTTACGACCTCAGAGCCAATTCTACGGGATTTCAACAGGACGATATGGTATGGTTATATAACCCACAGCGCAAGAAAGGGAGGTCCCCAAAGTTAACTCCAGCATGGGAAGGTCCTTATACAGTCATCAAGAGGATAAATGATGTTGTGTACCGGATTCAACGCAGCCCTAGAAGTAAGATGAAAGTAGTTCATCTGGATCGATTGAAGAGATACCAGACAGGAAACCTTGATCGGGACGATCAAATTTGAGAAGGGGGCAATGTCAAGAAAAATGGCGTATCCGCCAGAAATTAAAAATGTATTACTGGTTGCCTGCACAACCGCAACGTATCCGCCAGAAATTAAAAGACTTCAGGCGCCATCTTTTAGTCAAGTCGAGAAGTAAGGGAATCAGACAATGGAATTGTCTGGTATGAAGAAGTACGCTTTCCGAGAATTTGGGAAATTTCGAGAAGCAGTCAATAGAGTATATAAGCCGGAGCCATCGACCACTGAGACAGTTTTTGAAATTTGAATATACCGCGTGGAAATTGAAAATCGGACAATTTGGTGAAGGAATCTTATAAATAGTTAGTTTGTTGTGTGTTATAAGTTAGTAATTGTGTATAAAGTGAGAAAATAAATTCGTTAAGTATTTTATCGTGAGTTTAAATTAGTGGACCCACGGAATCCGTAACAATATTTACCATGAAAACAAATTGTAAAAACGTCATCAATAAATATGTACTACTACTATCACCCTGTTTTTACTAAAAACACTTACTAAAAATATTTTAGTTATTGTTGAATATGGCTCCTGTTTACAATACAGTTGACAAGTTTGGACGCAAAAGAAATAATATCAAAGTGCGTACAATACGTGGTGCTGCTGGAATAGGATTTAAATTAACATCCAGTGGAGATTACGACATAACTCAAAAACGTTTAAAGAATGGCGCTCGTCTTAGAGATAAGACAGATGCTATAACAAAACAATATATTGACAAGGAACTTGTTCAATTGAAGAAAGCATTTGCAGATATATTGAATAATGATGTGGAAGAGAAAATGATGAACGCGATAAAAAAAACTGTGGAAGAAAAAACGCGAGAATACATCCAAAGGATTATCGTGTTAGAAAAAAGAGTAAATCATATTATTAATACTGAACAACAGGGGGATGTTACTTAATAATAACTAATATAAACTATATATATAATATAACTTAATAATAAATTCATATAATAATAGTACTTCCGTAGAAAAAAGTTTAGTTTAGAGATGGCGACTAACAAAACAATTGATAAATTCGGTCGTAAGAATATTCATGATACAGTTGAAGTGTTGCACAGCATACCAGGAATTGGATATAAACCCAGTGGTGACTATAACATTCAAGGAAAACGAATAATGTACCTTAGTGAGCCAATAGATAAGGTTGATGTAGTTGCAATGCAATATGCAGATGATAAAATACATAAAACAGTTGAAGTGTTGCGCAGCATACCCGGAATTGGATATAAATTAACACCCAGTGGCGACTATAACATTCAAGAAAAACGAATAATAAACCTTAGTGAGCCAATAGATAAGGCTGATGCAGTTACAATGCAATATGCATGAGTATATCCCTTATCAAAAATACTTTTGAATTTGCTGATCCGAACCACATCACCTAATTGAAATTTAAATTTTTTAGGTACAATTTTTATGTGATTGTAAGCGTGAATACGCGTAACATCAACCGGTTTCATTTGGGTGGTGCGGTGTTTCTTGTTATTATACGTCTTCGTTACAGTACGTAAAAGTTGTAGCCATTGGTATGAACCTCTAGCTGAAAACTCCTTATATAAGTAATTCTTAAGTGTTCTTATTATTCGTTCTACAATTGCTGCTTTTTTGGTACTGAATGTAAAATAATGATTCATATTGTATTCTTCAACCATAGCTTGAAATGTTCAATTGAAAAATTCCTTTCCTTGGTCGCTTTGTAGATTACTTGGTGCATACCCTGCTTCTGTAATAATATCCCCCATCGCCCTGGTAACTTCAACTCCAGTTTTATTCTTGACAGGTCTAGTGTACATATTTTTAGAATAGCAATTTATACACACTAATATGTAACGATAACCATTATTTTCACTACTATATTGTTGCATTTCAGCCAAATCAATTTGCCACAAGTCGCTATATCCCTTAATTATTGTACGCCTCCTAGGAATTTTTTTTCTAGCAGATCTATGAAGTTCATTGACAATTTTTAACTTTTCAGGGCTAACCTCCATATTTCTAAAAGACGTATCTTGGAGAACTGACGAAAACTGCTACTTGCTTTTCTTAATAAATTATTCGTTCTTCCCGGAGTTCTTCAATTATAGATATTATTTCATTATTATGTCCGGTGTGTCCCGCCATCTTTGAACTCCAGAGTAATCGTAAACGATCTATTAACTCTTTCCGTGTACGGTGCTTCTGTCAGCTGCAAAATTGATTTATAATTTTCGATAACTTCGGGATCCATTTCACCTTCATTACCCAATACTGGTGGATTTTTCAAGAAAAGTAGGTCATAAAGTTCAGAGTTCCCTTGAAATTCACTAATTTTATTATTTTTGTCCACAAGAACAACATTACCGGGTGGAAAACGTATTTGCATTTTACACATATATATCACATATTTGTTCTTCTTTTCACGTCGAACCCCATAAATATTGTCAAATAAAGATGGTTTAGCCGTAAATCCGTTTAGATAAGATTGAATTACACTGTCCAGAGATTCCACTGAGTTGTAACTATATGTCATTGCAGAAGTTTTTGATGGTGGTGAGAGGCAGAGAGGCTTCCGTGGTTTTATCAATGGAGTTGGCGTTTCTTTTGGTGCACGCTCCGTAAATACTGTTTGTCTGGGTGTACTTACACTTTCAGTTGATGTACCCATACTTATTTGATCGTATTTTGGTTTCAAACATTTTTGTTTTTTTTTATTAACATTGGATATAGATGTTAACGGTGTACTAATCGGATCGTAAAATTTCTCCAATTCAATTTTATCGTGTACGCTTGCAGATTTAATTTGTTTAAATTTTTTTCGAACAGCATCTGTAGCTTCGGTGGCCTAATGGTTAGTGTGAGGGTCTCAGAGGCACCCATGGTTGCCGATGCCTTGCGTGTAACAAAACTCTGGGAAATGCCCGCAGTCTCTAAGACATACTAGCAAATCCTACTTCCACGTCCTTGCCGTGACCACTGGGCAATGAGTGGCGTACAATGGATGTACGTTACGCAGCTAACGGAAGAGGGTGAAAGGCGATTTTCCGGCGCCTTAAAACTGGAACAGATCGGCTAAGGGAGACAACCCCTACAGAAAAATCTTGGCCCTCCTGATAGGGGGCATCGGGCTAACTCCTCGACACCTGGAAAACCTAAAAAATGTTAAAAAGCCAAACAAAATGCCTCGGAATGGATCTGATATACGAAGACGAACCAAGCAACGAAAACGGATAATGCACTTTGGAACATGGAACGTACAAGGTATCTCTCTCCCTTGGTATAAACCAAGAAAAAAAGTAAAGGATCAGAGAACTTAGGAATGTATGATTACTTTTATATCGGCGTTCCAAAAGAAAAGAGAGCGGGCCAGGGAGTGGCTATTTTGATACATCGGAAATATAGAAAATACATTACAACCTGGGGAAGGAATCAGCCAAAGAATTATTAAGATTAATATGAATATTCGAGAATATAGATTAACAATCATTGGAGTATACGCAGTAAATGATGATTCACCAACAGTTTCAAAAGATACATTCTTCCAACAGTTGAATGATGAGATTATAAAAACCGGAAAAACGAGAGAAATATTTTTGTTGGGGGACTTAAATAGCCGCACCGGAAAAAGTGATAATGATGTTACTATAGGAAAATATGGAGAAGATACGCTCATTAACAATGGAGAAAGACTAATTGACATGTGCAAACAGAATAACTTAAGAATTCTCAATGGATTTTATCAACACCGTAACATACACAAATATACGTGGATACAAGGCACAAAAAAATTAAGATCTATCATAGATTACGTAATTACTAAACAAAAAACAAAACTACAGATTCAAGACGTAAGGGTATATAGAGGGGCGATATGCGGTAGCGACCACCACCTCCTAAAAGCGAAAATATTTCTACCATATAAACGAGAAAAAATAGAATATAAAGAAATAGAAAATGTAACGAAAGAAATTGAAGAGAGAAGGTACAACTTAACAGCGTTCGAGGACCCCAGCGTGCAAATGTTATACAGAAAAAAATTAGAGGAAAAATTACAACAACAACGTTTCGAAACTCTGGAGAAACATTATTATTATGTCAAGGAATGCATACACAAAGCAGCTTCTGAGGTCCTGGGTACAATCGACAATAATGAAAGGAAAAGGAAGCCTTACTGGTGGGACACGGATATACAGGATATTATAGAGGATAAAAGACGCAAATATACAAAATACTTGAGCACCAAGAAGATCGAAGACAAACTAATATATAAAAAAGCCCAAGGTAAAGTACGAAGAGAAATATGCCAGAAGAAAAATCTGATATGGGAAAATAAGTGTAATCAACTAAACACATATATAGGAGGTAGAAGAAGCACAGAAAGTTGGAAATTTATAAAAAATGTCAGAAAGGGAAAAGGCAAAAAAATCTGAAACCCCGATTACACCACAAAAATGGGAAGAATACATGGAAAATCTTATGACGGAAAATAGAGTCGAATTTATGGACTGCCCTGACGTGACGACAAATATAAGAACAATGGGATCCCCGATTAGAATGTCAATGGACGAATTAATTAAGGCATGTACCTCGCTAAAAAATCGTAAAGCACCCGGACCGGGAAATATACCGGCAGAGTTAATTAAATCAGGACCGAAAAAACTGTACGAACACTTAAGGAAAATATTCCAGGACTGCATAAACGGAACGGATGTACCACAAGAATGGAATGAGGCTTACCTCTCAACTATATACAAAAAGGGAGATCGTACTAAGTGCGAAAACTACAGGGGAATATCAGTAATAGCCACCGTGAGTAGAATATATGGAAAAATTTTGAGAAATAGGATCGAAACCGAATGCCAAGAAATAGAAGCCGAAGAACAAGCAGGATTTAGAGCCGGAAGATCGACGGTGGACCACTTATTTACAGTCACTCAAGTAATAAGTAAAAAGAGCAATATAAACCAAGAGCTACATCTTGTGTTCGTGGACCTGCAGAAGGCATACGACAGCGTTCCCCTTGTGAGACTTTGGGAAGCTATGGAAAAAACCAATATAAATGTAGAGCAAATAAAAGCAGTGAAATCATTATATAAACAAACAAAAACTAGAATAAAAGTCGGCAAAAAGTTAACAACAGGATTTAATGGAACCAAAGGTCTGAAAATTGTTAATTCATTAATTAATAAGTTACCGTTTGAGTTACATCTTCCCGGATATCAGTACTGTGAACCCGGTACAAAACTAAAAAAGCGTCTAGCGAAGGGCGATTTAGGTATTAACCTCTTGGATGCAGCTTGTAAGAAACACGATATAGTATGTTCGCAAAATCTTAATAATTTGGGTGAACGTCATAAAGCAGATAGCGAACTTGAGCAACGTGCTTGGGAGAGAGTTAAATCTAAGGACTCTACTGCATATGAAAAAGCTTCAGCTTGGTTAGTAACAAATATTATGAAGGCAAAACAACGCTTTGGGATGGGGTATAGAGCGAGATCAAATAAGGGTAAAAGTACCAAAAAAGGAAAACGACTCCCAGCTAAATTTTTGAAAGGTGTGCGTAAACGTAAAAGATTACCCAAAATTGCTTTTGGAAAAGCACTGAGACGACCGATTCAAGCCGAATTACGCAAAGCTGGAGGTAAAAAAATTGCTGAAAAAGACATTCTAAACGCTTCTCGAATAGCCTTAGCTGCAGCACGGAAATTCTTGCGAAAATCCGGTGGTAAAAGAAGAATTTGCACTCCTAGAATAATACCTATTCCAAAAGTGGCTGGCATATTACCATTAATACCAATATTTGCCGGTCTTCTTGTGTCAGCTTTGGGATCACTGGCTGGAGGAGTTGAAGGTATCGTTCGTGCTATAAAGTCGGCAAAAAATGAGAATTCTCAAAAGACAGGCGGCCACCTAACTTTGAGTTCAAAGGGAAATGGTATGTAATGGACTTTTTATGAACAAATCAAAAAACTCATAGGATCCCTGCTCCAAAGACCACTATCCAATATCGACATAAGCAAGTATGCATTTCAAATGAAAATACCAAATTTAGGGAGGGATACTCTTCCATGGCGTGGTACAAAATGCTATGAATGTGCTATTGTTAACTTAGACAGAAGCAAGGGGTTAGGGACCCATTGGGTGGCATACAAAAAGGTAAATTCACAAGTTATTTACTATGACAGTTTTGGTAACTTACTACCCCCTATAGAATTGCTAGAATATCTACAACGAGGTTCCAAACCTGCCACTAATATTTACTATACATACGATCGTCAACAGAAGTTTGGAACAGTCTGGTGCGGACATTCGTGTTTAAAGTTTCTCTCAGAATCATAATATGTCTTTGATACCCAGATGGATCGAGATCATTATAAAAAAATGGCTTCATCGCTTAAAGTCTACTATCGCTATGGTAGTTTACTAGAATTAACTTCTGAACAGTTAGAAAACATGCTAAAAGAAGTTATGATTACCTGTAAACCGAATGAAATTGCATTAGTGTGGGATAAGTTACAGGAACACATGAAAAACGACATTTTGATATCCTTAAGTATCAATATTCTAGTGAACAATACAACAATTTATATGAAGAAGAAGAAAGTGACGTATCAACACCTAGAAAACTATATTGTTGCTATTGTAAAATGAGGGATGTAAATATTACCAATGAAAAAATAGAGCAAGGTAAACGTCCGTTCGGCTTTAACCCACTAAAATGCTGCAAACAACAATAAAAACCATGTTCAAGTTAATTTACCATCAGTTATGTCTTACACATTTACCTTAACGGGACGCTCTAGCGTCTTAAGTACAAACTTTTACCCACCTATAGAACTGAATGCTACAGATAGATATGGACTTGCACTTGTTGGCTTCTATACGTACAACTCAATTTTTAACATAGACGAAAGTAACAATCGTTTCTCTTATAAGAAAACCGAAAAATCTAAATCTGTAAATATGATAATTCCACCTGGTGTTTTACGAAATATACGAGATTGAAAAAGCTATGCTCACCGCATTAAAGGAGTCTACTAAAGAAAACGAGGAAAATTTATTTTCACTGTTGGCCAACAACAACACACTAAAATGTGAGATTAAATCAAAATATATAATCGACTTCACGGAAGAAAAGAGTGTCGGAAAAATGCTCGGATTTGGTCGTGTTCTGCTAAAAAATGGTATAAAACACGAATCGACATTTCAAGTGGACATTATGAAAGTACGTATAATACGAGTAGATAGAAATATAACTTCGAGAGCATATCTTAATTCAAACGAATGCCATATATTGGTCGAATTCGATATAGAATCTGAGCCTGGCTTTAAGATCACAAAGGAGCCTACAAATCCTATTTATTTACCATTAAGACCAGACGGGCGCCAGTTCTTAGATAACTTCACACTACGCATCTTGGATGACAACGGTGATTTGATCAATTTACAAAAAGAAAAGATTATAGTTAAGCTCGAATTGAAAAAGTTGACATAAATATGGGCTTCCGCTATAATTGTCAACCGCAAATTGTGCTTTCTTCTGGACTAGTAACGTATCCCAATAAAAGCAAGGGACCACCTAAAGCAGAATTCATTTATAAACCAAACTTAAGGTGTAAAGGACGTCTACCACGACTCTCTACCAGAGATTATAAATTTCTACAATCTATTGGATTGAAAGTACGTAAACAATCAAAATGATGACAACTAGCGAAAAAAAAGTTTTTACAGAACCTATTCTCGATAATTCTATTGTTAGCTTGCAAGAACACACGTATAAACCATATGGATCTCCAAAATTTCAAAATTCCGACGAAATTCGAATTCCAGTTTATTTTCAGGATATTATTTTGGACATATCCGAAAGTTATATCTACATTGAGGGTACATTTGGGGCTACCGACGAAACTAAAAAATGTTATTTATCCAACAATTCACTGGCTTTCCTTTTCGATGAAATCCGATACGAGATGGGTGGTGAAAAAGTTGCAGCAGTCAGAAAACCTGGGATAACTACAGCTTTAAAAACGATGGTTTCCTTTGGTGTCGCACATACTAAACCGTTTCTAACATGTGGCTGGGGTCTAAACGAACAGAAACAAGATATTTTAGATCTCTCCAGCAATATTTTTTGGGGTAAATTACCTTTAAAATATTTAATGGGTTTTGCCGCAGATTACACAAAGGGAATTTTTAATATAAAGCAGGAATTGATTATAATAATCGCTCGTACCTTTAGCAATTGCTATATTGGTGAAGTGGAAGCTAATATAAAAATTAATAGAATTGAGTGGAAAATTCGCCATATAATCCCAGAAGATCGACAAAAACTTAAAATATTGTCTCGTATCAATAAAGGTGGTAATAATGCAAATATTCATATGACTTTTCGATCATGGGACCTTTATGAACTTCCTGCTCTGCGAGAAACTTCGTCAGATGTTTGGGCCATTAGAACCAGCACAAGTTTGGAGAAACCTCGTTATATTATCATCGGATTTCAAGATAATAATAATTCGGAAAATTTTAAGAATAACGCAACCCAGTTTACTTCTGCCAACGTTAGTGATATTAGAGTGTATCTTAACTCAACTGTTTTCCCTTACGAGAGATGGAACCTAGATTTTACAAAAAAAACTGTACGCTGCAGCCTATTACAATTATGAAAATTTCCAAAGAAGCTGTTATGGACGCGAATTTAATGATCCTATGATGCATTTCGGCGAATACGCAAAAAATCCAGTATTCCTAGTCGATTGCGTTCACCAGACAGAGAATGTAAAATCTTCAACCGTAGATGTGAAAATCGAGTTCCAAACACGAGATAGCAAATTTCCAAAAGACACAAAAGTATACGCCTTAATAATACATCACTCAATCATTAATTATAATATTTTAAATGGTTTGGTGTCGAACCAATCTGTATTCTAATGTTAAGGAATATTTTTTTGACACAAAAAAAAGTAATGTTTTAATAGTGCATTATTGTTATTTTAATTATAACATTCTACGTTGTTCGAGTTCGAACCAAGTTGTATTTTAATTTTAAGGTTTACTGTTTTACACGATAATTTTTTTATATGATATATTAAATAGTTCGGTGTCGAATAAACCTGTATTTTAATTTTAAGTTGTTTTTAATTATCAATCTAGTGTCTAGTAAAACGTTTTATTAAAATAAATAGATATATAAATACATTTGGTTTTTATTTTTTTTATAATTCTTATTGTGGTTCTAAAAAGAACCGATTTTATTATATCTAGTGGATCGACGATTATTTATGGGGTAGTTGAGTCTGCTTCTCCATCGTCATCATCATCCTCAACGATTTCTGGAACCCACATCCAAGAGCTGTCAGCTGGTCCAGCTAATTTGTCCGGTGGTTGGCATGGAGCCCACCAAGTTGAGTAATCAGGTAAAGTGTCCTCC